TCTTCTTAGCTATATAAAAGTAGGAATTTTTAAAGATTTAAGATGAACATTATTTTGTTGCAGGTGAGATCTTTGGTGGGTGATCGAATGGCTCTTGTTGTACAAACCATGTCAGCAGTAACAGTAGCTTGCACAATGGGATTGATCATTACATGGAGACTTGCACTTGTCATGATAGCCGTACAACCCCTCATCATTGTATGCTTCTACACAAGGCGTGTCCTGCTCAAAAAGATGTCCCAGAAGGCCATAAAATCCCAGGAAGAAAGCAGCAAGCTCGCCGCGGAAGCAGTCTCCAACCTCCGGACAGTCACCGCCTTCTCATCCCAAAACCGCCTCTTGAAAATGCTCGAAAAGGCCCAAGAAGGCCCGCGTCGGGAGAGCATCCGACAGTCATGGTACGCCGGCATTGGACTCGCTTGTTCCCAAAGCCTCACGACCGTCACTTGGGCCTTCGACTTTTGGTACGGAGGCAAGCTTGTCGCCAAGGGCTACGTCAATGCAAAACAACTTTTCCAGACCTTCATGGTCTTGGTCAGCACGGGCCGGGTCATTGCCGATGCTGGTAGCATGACCACTGACCTCGCCAAGGGAGCAGACGCGGTTGGGTCTGTTTTTGCCGTGTTAGACAAGTACACAAAAATCGAGCCTGAAGACCCCGAAGGTCTCGACCCCAAAAGAATTACGGGCAGCATTGAGCTACGCAACGTACATTTCGCGTACCCCGCTAGGCCCGATGTTATGATCTTCAACGGCTTCTCAATCAAAATCGAGGCGGGAAAATCAACGGCATTGGTGGGCCAAAGTGGTTCAGGTAAATCAACGATCATCGGATTGATCGAACGGTTTTATGATCCGATCAAAGGACTGGTCAAAATCGACGGTCAAGATGTGAAGTCGTACCACCTCAAATCATTGAGAAAACACATAGCATTGGTCAGTCAAGAGCCGACGTTATTTGCCGGGACCATACGAGAAAACATTGTGTACGGCGTATCGGACAAGGTCGATGAGTTGGAGATAGTGGAAGCTGCAAGGGCGGCCAACGCGCACGATTTCATTGCAGGATTGAAAGACGGATATGACACGTCGTGCGGGGACAGGGGAGTGCAGCTATCCGGCGGACAAAAGCAACGGATTGCTATAGCCAGGGCGATACTTCGAAACCCTGTCATTTTGTTGTTGGACGAGGCGACCAGCGCGCTCGACAGTCAGTCTGAAAAGGTTGTGCAGGACGCGCTGGAGCGTGTGATGGTGGGGAGGACTAGCGTGGTGGTGGCCCACAGGTTGAGTACGATACGGAATTGTGATATGATTACTGTGCTGGATAAAGGAAAGGTGGTGGAGAAAGGGACCCACTCGTCGCTTTTGGCCAAGGGGCCTGCCGGTGCTTATTTCTCATTGGTCAGCCTCCAAAGGACCCCACCCACAGAAAAGGGCACTGAATTGTATTGAAATTATAATCAACTCCTCCCTTCTTTTTGTTCTATTTTTTTTTTTGCCCCACCAAAATGGTGGTTGATGATGAAGGTGTAAATAGTCCTAAGCGGGAAGAGTAAACTTGCAAAAGCTTCAAGTCTCTTTTGAAATAATGGTGTTGGCATTGGGTAAGAAGTATGGACTAGAAAACTAGAAGGGATGCCAAGGCACTGTATAAATATTCTCTCTTTTTTAAACTCTAATGTACATATATGTTGTCTCTTTACTAATTAGGTTTTTCCGTAAAGAGTAGTGCTATACTTACTATACATTTGTACAATATTTTCAATAGAGGTAGAGCCCACCAATACATGTGGGTCATATCTCTTTTAGAGAGATGATACAAATAGATGATAAAAATATCATATTTGTTTCGTAAAAGGGACCGATGGTTTTAAAGTTTTTTAACTAAAATAAAACATGAAAAGTCTCGTAAGTTGTTAAATTAAAAGAAGCATAGTGCTATTCACACATCCGTTTTTACCTCTCATACATCCTTATTAACGTTTTGTCGTTGATCTTTTTCAATTCATTCGATCTAACGGTTGGAAATTGAGAGGGGCATGTGAGAAGTACAAGAGTGTGTGTGAATAACACTATCCTAAAAGAATGTCTAGCATGTATTTTAGGTTCCATGTTTAGATTTTTTTTCGAATGTTTAGCATGTATTAAAGTCTCAGTAAATTTTCAAGGCTCCTAAACCACTTTCCTGTGGCCTCTTTTACTTCAGCCCAACTCCCTGAAAATAATGTTCGACTTGCAAGTACTGAGCATATAGCTAGCATTCATTTTGAGCCATGACCAAACTCTTCTTTTGTATGATTAGGCCTCGTAGTGGTAGTAACTGGTGAAACGGCCAACTGGACCTTGCTTCTCTTATGATTTTTGTTACCTATTTTTTTAGGGGACTGTTATTAGCATTCAAAAAATCTCATTTTACACTCCTTACAAGTGTATTTTTTTCTTCTTTTAATTATAGAAAATTTAGAGTTCCAAATCAAAACAATTCCCTTTTTTTAATATAAGAAGCTTGCGCTGGTAGTTGGGCGGACGACTAACATTAATAATCCGACCTAGAACTTAGTCTAGCTAGCCTTTAACCACTGTTTATACTCAAGTTGGCATATGAGATTGAAAGAAACAGAATGTCTTTGTCAACCAAATGAGGATAAATCCAACTGCCAAGAAAAACAACCAATTGACATGGGAGATTCCTTTTGAGGCTTCTGACAGTAATAAAAATTAATAGAAAAACACTTTAAAATGTTTATAACCCCCTCAATTGCCAACGGACAGTTCTTTTTTTTCAAAACAAAAATAAACTACAGTACTAAATAAGCTAATCATACGCCAGAGATATAAGTTTAGCAAAAATGTATAGCCATTTTACCATAAATAATCAATGGTTGGGGGGGGGGGGTGGGGAAGTTGTACATGACTTGGATCAACGAACGCCACAATAATGCATATATACTAGTTAGGTTGAAGGAAAATAATTTTAGAATTTTGCTAGAGTTTAGTTGAAATTGACAATGAAAATAATACGATCAATCGCCTTTTTAACTATTGTTCAAAGGGGTGTGATATTCACACACCTTATTTTACTTATCACACACTTTTTTAATTGTCGGCCGTCGGATCGGATGAATTGAATAAGATCGAAGGACATAAATTAATAAGAGGTGTGTGAGAAAATGGGTGTGTAGTGGATAGCACACCCCTTGTTCAACTTGGGTCTCATAGTGATCAACGGTCAAGAATCATCTATACACGCAATTGAGTGCACCCTAGCTCAATCAGCAAGCTTAATTCTTACGTACTATTGTGAAATTGTTGGAACCCCTGTTTGTCCCACATCGGCTAGGGGAAGGAAAGCAAAGCAATTTAAATAGAATTACCCCACTTCAACTAGCATCAAGGTTTTTTGTGATAAAACCCCACACCTAAGGATTGTGCAGGTGGTTAGGTGGGGACAATATCAGTATTGTTGGAGTGGGCCCTCGGCCCGTCGACCTGAAAAATTTCCACATAAATCTCATTTATTTTTTGGATGAGTTTGTGTCTTGTCTAATTGTGTATTGAAATGGAGATTGAATGCAACAATTACAGGTAGCAATGATGTCGTGCTATATTGGGATTGTGTTAACTTTGATTTAGGGAGGAATTTGACCCTTTTGATTTTTCAGTCATTTCATTCTGATGACCTTTTCGTGATACCGTGAGCACCTGTTGTCAACTCCTCAGTGGTCCAAAGAAGTATAATTTTCTCATTAATTTTGGAAGAGAGAGAATCATACTCCAGTCTAAAGGATGCTCTGCTCTACATAGGCAGGCATACAGTACAACGAGCCATTTCTCAATGACAAACCTCTACCACTAATTTGCACGACATATCGTTTTGATTTTTGCTAATTATTATCTCACACTTTCCCAATATTCTCATTTGTCAACGAGGGAAAGACTGTTATCAAACATTTTGCTCAATTCTGAACCCTCAAAAGTTGGGTAGAGTTTGATAGTTATTTGCATCCAACAAGTAATATGTGTAGCAATATCAATCAACATTTACTACATGTTTCGCTTCAAACTTTGTATGTGGTAGTAATTAATGGGTTCAAATCTTTCATGATGTTTTTTTGTTTAGTTAAGTTTACGGGAGCAAATGTTTAGCAAGTATTTCATACATGTTGTCTCTTGTACCAATAAAAAGAAAAAAGAGTTGTCAATGAGGAATGGATTTATGGTTATTTCAGAATGCTGACAAAACATATGCATCCAAAGTGCCAATCCTTTGGGAAGCTGTGTTAAGGTCCAAGGAGCCTTCTCTAGAGAGATCTTTGCCCGAACACCCACCAAGGCTTGACCAAATGCCAATTTGTATGCTCAACTGTCCATAAATTTTGTGCACTACATGTGCTATTCTTATTAACCCCACATTTTATTTCTTAGATTAGCCATTGATATCTTTAGAGAAGCAAATTTCATGGCGGACAATATTACTAGATTTGATCTTCCTATTCAAAACACTCATATGTGGGATCACTCCTTCACTTCCAAGGTTTGGAATGCTTTCCTTTTTTATTGTACTCTAGTGGTACTCGTTTTTTTCCCTAGCAAAAAAGAAAAATGTACCGAACTCGTCATCTATAAAAATTTAGTCAAAAAAAAAAGAAATCTATAAAAATTAAACATGATTGTCATTTACAAATCAAGAGGAATTGACATTCGATTCTAATTTATTTGGCTATTTTAGGAGAATTATAAAGTCGTTGATATTATCCAAACTGGCCTATCGTGGTCCAAATTACAGAAAGGTTAATGCTAGCGAGTTCAAATTTTAAACCAAATTTGTAAACTAAATGATGTGTTACTAATAAGAAATAAGTACGTTAATTAACACTTAAATAATAATTTAATCATCAACAACTACATCATTTGATTTGAAAGTTTGGTTTAAAATTTATCCTAAAAATCGAAAATACAAGAGGTCATATCCACAAAACCACCAAGAATTTGTTTTTAACACAAAACCCTAAAATATCAGCGTCCCCATTTGTCACTGTCAGCGATCAAAACCCTAACCACTTTCCAGCTCTTCCGTGAAATCTGTTCACAAATTCTGCTTATTTTCTCGAGAAAGTCCTTAAAATTTCTGTTTGGCGGATGGCTAATGGTTTTGAAAGGTGAATTTAAGAGCTTTATGAATTTTGTCAAGTATATCTGTCGTTCTTCCAACTTTTTTTTTTGGATTATATAAATTTTTTTATCTTAGATAATTATATTATCAAATTTACGAATTTCTTTTGTTCTTTTCTGGATTTGGACCACAGCAATGGGCGATCCCGATTACCTGGCGGCGGAGGAGGCGGTGATTCTCAGAAATTGACAACCGTCGATGCTCTTTTGTTTCTCAAACAGGTGAAGGATGCGTTTTATGACAAAGAAGAAAATTATGAGAAATTTCTCGAGATCATGAAAGATTTCAAAGCTAAAAGGTAAGTTCAGATTTCCAATTTCCAATCTCAAATTAAAACTAAAATTATTTTTTATTTTTCTGTATGTTGTTGTTGTTGGTGTTATATCCGCAGTTGGATTAATTTTCTTGTTCTCGTTCTCCTGAACTCAGGGCTGTCACTGAAGATGTGGTTGCACGAGTGAAGGAATTATTCAAAGGGCATAAGGATTTAATTTTGGGATTTAATCCCTTCTTACCGGAGGGTTATCAGATAACCCCGGATGACGATGAAGATGCAACTTCGCTGAAACAGACTGTTGATGAAGATGAAGAAGCTGCTGACTCTATAAACTTGACAAACGTGAGTGAGTAGATCTATATTTTTTAAATCAAAGCGTGTGTCTTAATTTGTTAGGATTCCCTAGTACATTGAATGACTTAGTACAATTATTCATTGACAGTTAAATATATATAATCGTTGAATGTCATTACAACATATATGATCGTTAATTGGTGATTATTTTACATGAATGTATTGTTTTTGATTTCCGATATTTGATTTGAATTGTTGATTTAAACTTGTATTTTAGTTTTTGAATTTTGCCAAAATGATTACTATTTGTCAAGTAAGTGAAGTGTATTCCGTCAGAATATCTAGCAACATAAAATGTTTATGTTGTCAAAGTTGTGGATATGGATCGCTGCTCATGAGTAACTGTTGCGTGGTATTAGAAAACAGCTACATGAGTTGGTCCCCGTGTTATGAGTGGATACTTATAGATACTAACCCTAAAAGTCGCAAATATCAATCCGTAACGCATGGACTTGTTAAATCACCTGGCCGTATTCCCGTTGGTAATTTTTCATTGATCAAGATAATTTTTGTTTCAATTCGATTCCGACAACATAAGCATTCTGGCGAAAAATCATTACTCGTGAAAATGTGAATTCCAAAATCAAAACTCTAGATTTCAAAATTATCAATTCAGGAAAAATAAAGAAAGTCTTCTCTATGAGAAGTTTTGAACTTTTGAGATTATTATCATGATTTCCTCATTGCAATAAGTATAAAAATATTGTTATTATTTTTATCATAATCTGCTTTTGATCTTTGACTTTCAGGAGGACAACGGGGAGTGCAGTATCTGCTTGGGGAGACTGAGTGCTGGGTACATTTCACTGGATTGCTCCCACCGCTTCCATGCTAAATGTTTTAGGACCTGGTGGAGCAATAACCCGACGTGCCCATATTGCAGACTTCGGGTTAACGAGAATGGAGAGAAGGATGCCTAGGAGGACCGAGCCTGGGTGGGGCAGCTGGAAGATGGAATAACGAGAACCTGTTGCGAGCAGATAAACCACATGATTAGATAACGGGAGTTGTTATTGACATTTCAGAAAAGTCGTAGGCACTGCTCCTTAGGGAGAAGTTGCACTTGCTAGAGTGAGTGATGACGTTTTTGAAGTGCCATTGACGGCTCCCGAAGAGACACAGAAGTACATTGGTTGTTTTCATAATTAATAACAATCGATCAAGGTCAATTAGAAGTTTCGATGTCTTAAGAACTAGAGCAATAAAGTGCACAGGTCGAACGTTTAATGAAGAAGATGTCCCCCCGCAGTTGGAGCGCGGGAACATTTGTGTTCGTAAATCTTAATTTTCTTGTTTACCCAATTGTCTAATTTTTGCTTTTAGTTGAATGTGGTCAAAAACACAAAACCAAAAATCCTTGATTGACATTGAAAGTTTTCATAATGTTTTTCTAAGGTTGTTTGATAACCATTTCATTTTCAATTTTGGTTTTACATTTTTGTTTTATAAAAAAACAAAACAAAAAGCATGTTTGGTAACTATTTTGAGTTTTCAGTTCAAGCAAAACTAAAAATAAAAAATGATAAAATTAAATTTTGAAGTTTTCAAAATTTGACTTTTTTTTTTTGTTTCTGTTATGATTTTTTATTATTGGAACTAGGTAAACTTGAATCACCATAAGATAGTAGGGAGCCTTTCCACCCACTAGACCTGGCATTTTAGACTCAATTCATTATTCCAAAGCATTTGATTTTGGGTGAATGTTTAACAGATCGGATTATTAATGGATGAACCCGTTACATAACAGGTCATTTTGAATTTAACTGTGAAATCCATTAGCACCGATTAATTTTAACAGAACAAATCCCTTCACTTCTCTTATAGCAAATAGTTTCTTTTTTTCAAACAAAGTTGAATGCTCGAGGAAAAAGTTGAGAAGAAGAGAACAAATAAGCTTATCCACAGTCCTTTTCCAGTTTCTAGTTATGGATGAGCCTTTATCTTAAAATTTTATTCTCTTAAAATAAAACAAAAATAACTAGTAATATTCATCTAAGAAAATGTCCTCATCTTTTCTTTTTATTTGCCTTTTGTAGCAACTGAATCTAAAATCGACTTTTTCACTATACTCAAACTCATATCACTTCCCCTAAATTTTTAATTAAAGATCTTCCATTTTTTTTAGTGATAGTAAGCGATTTAGTTTATTTAGAGATGGATTCGTGACACCAGTTTTTTTTAATAATTTTTGACACACGTTTTTGTGGAGCTCATAACGTCTTTTAACGATTTGAACGTCTATCTTTTAGGTATTCTCTCAAAGTTCTTGTCTTTAAAAAAATCATCCAATTTTGAAACCATATGACCATTGAATTAAGAATTTTCTTTGTAGAACTGTATTGTTTATTTTCTTCACTACAAATAAATGTTAATGACTTTGGATTTGTCTAATTTATTGCGACGAAGATCTATGAATAATGTTCCAAAAGACAGAAGGTTCAGATCGTTGAAGTACATTATTAAGTAGGCACTACAAAAACTTGTGTTAAAAGTTATGTATTAAAAAAATGGTGTCACAGATCTGTTATGATTTCTTTTGTCTAACAAGATGATATATATTATAAACAACTCTAGTTCATTAGAAGGAAATTTAAACTTGAGTAATCAAATCCACACATTGTCATTACTAACTGACTTAACCTAAATCAGCTTAATACTTTTCTTTATAGTTACTCCTCGTAGACCCTACGCTTTAAAAGATGTTAGGAATGATCCAAGTTATCAAACTATATTTTAATCTTCCTCTCTTTGCCATTGTTTTTCTTTTCTCTCCTTTGTCACTATTTTCTGGCTCCCTTTTTGCATATCTTATATTTACTTTTGTGCATGGAGTTGATTGTACCACCACATTACCGCTTCGAGGAGGAAGGCACCAGTTTGTGTACTTGCGTGGATTGGCAGTTTTGAAGCCTAACTCCACGTGAAAAAATTAAGAAATGTTTTAATGTGCCGCTGGAAACACCGTTCAATACAATAAGTGTTTTAATACAGATGATTGAAACTTATTTTTCAAGTATTCAACCCTTGTATTATAATACTTAATTTATAAAATTATGTACCCGACATACTGAAAAATCTATCCAAATAACTTGTGCGGTTGCAGGTTTAAGAATCCCAACTGTCACAAGGGGCAGCCTCTCTACAAAACAAACAAAACAATCAACATGCAAAGGAAAAATTGAACAAAAGCTTGAAGTTGGAGACAGGACCACATTTCGGCCCAACTCACCTTTCGCCATTTTGAGCAAAATTGTAGGCGTGCTTTTGAGTCTAGGGTTTTAAACTAAAATGATGAATGATAAAATGTCAATTCATTCATGATATTTAAATTTATGACGTCTCACTTACAAGTAAGAAAAAATATTATTAAATTGTAGTATTAAATTTCAATGATACATATAATTTTAAAATTTGACACATCATCATTATCTAGAGAACGAGAGCAATTTCTAGTCATATATACAAAAGTCCAATACGTAAATATGTTGAATTAAACCAGAGACTTGGTTAAATCAAATTTAAAATCCATAATTATAGCAACCGCTTCTTAAGTTACAATAAAATTCAATGTTGTAATATGACAGTTACGCTCCACTAACCAATGTTTTGATGTCTCACTTTAAACTACTAATCATTAAGTTCGTCAATATGACATAGTTGTTTTGTGGTATTGACGAAATATTTTAAGTTACTTAATGATGTGGAACAAAATGACACATCAAACATCATTTTTGTGGGAAAGCTAGGTCAATACAACTTTAGAGCAATATCAGATTCGGCTATAGTTCCAAGAGCGTGGCATTATTCTAACCTCTTTTTTTTTTCAAAAATTTGAGTACTAAAGAAGGGCAACATTCTTTGAAAAAAACATGGGAAAAAAGTAGGCCAAACATACTTTACATGTACTTTCATGACATAACAATCATGGGCTGAAATTGTCCAAAACCCGGCCCATAATTTGGTCAGGAAAAACAAATAAAGAAATCGGTGACTTTATTTAGAGTAAATCAATTTTTAGTGCAAACCGTGATACAATTGAGTACGTTAATTAATATTTAATATTTAAATAATAGTTTAATATTCAAAATCAAGTTATATGATTTAAATTGATTGTCTCATTAGAATTACTCATTTATTTAAGAAGAGATATATGACTCGTTTGGAAATATTTTTAAATGACTAAAAATGAGTTTAAGTTATAAAATCACTTGACGTGTTTCTTGCAATAAGCACATGCAAGAAGCACTTGGAAGTGATTCTTACTAAAAACACTTCACAATTCACTTGCAAATTAACCATAAATTAGTTTTAAAAATACTTTCATTAAAAACGTTCTCACCAGTTTAAAAGCACTACCGAACAAGCCAGTTGTTTTTTTTTTTTTTTTAATTTTGGCAAGTGGAGGCCGAGGCTCGGATGGGAAGAGAAAAGAGAGAGATGAGCTATATTTCAATACAAAACCCCAAAAACGCAAGCCATTCTGTTCCTCTTCGCATTTTCGAATTCTCTCTCTTTTCTCTCTTTCTCTCCGATTATTTTACTTGCCATTTCCACGTTTTTTCTTCTCCTCAAAAACTACAAAACCTAAAATCTCTCCCTTCTCGTCTCTTCGCTCACAAAATTCACTTCCTAACGTAACACAAGAAGCAGCAGAAAGCAGAAGACAATCACAGATATCTCCAAAGCCATTCTCTCTCCTTTCTTTTGGTCTAAATTTCTCTCTTTCTCTCTCTTCCTCTGTGCGCGATCAAAGATCTGTTGCAGAATAGTAAGTCTTCGACGATTGCTTTCGGCAAATGGCTGTTTTTTTTATTTTTTATTTTTGTGTTCAATTTTCTGATTTGCGATTTTTGGTTTTTTTGGCAGGGATGAAGAGAGTAAGAGATGATGTGTGCGTCGGTCCTCAAGTGAAGCGGCCCCCCTGTTCGTCTCGCGGGGACTCGTAAGTTCCATGATTTGTTCATCACTCTTCAATTGCTTGATTTGCTTTATGTTTTGTTTGGTTTGTTTGGTTTGTGAGGATTTAATTTTTCCCATGTTAGTGTATCGGTGCGCGATTTTGGTTCTGTTGCCCTTGTTTGTGAATATTGGTGTAATTTGATCGTTGTGTTGTCGAATTGCGTACTTTTTAACCTGCAGTGGATTGGATTGGTCGTTTTTTATCGTGAAATTTGTTCAATTTGTTTAGGGTTTGTTGTTTATTAGAGTTGAACTGAGTAGTAGTTTGGGTTTTAGTGGTAAAGTCGAGAGCTTTCTGAAAATTCTGTTAGGTATGCTGTTTTCAGCAGATATGATTTCGGTTTTTAGACGTAAAGTCAAGAGCTTTCTGAAAATTTTGTTAGGTATGTTGTTTTCAGCAGATATGTTTAGGAAGATTAAATCTTCTGATGAATATTAATATAGTTTTATGTTTGGGGCTTAGATCAATGCAGTAGACAGAATGTTGACAGAAATAGTACCTGAGAATGATGATTATCTTTGTTTTCTGGAAGTATGTTCTATTTTTTCTGTTGTAGCTGACTAGATTTAGAAAACAACTATCAGGGGAAGTAGGAAGGAGTTGTATGTATTGAGTAATTATTCTTTTGTTTATGATGTTTCATGAATTTGACAGTATTTATTTTATAGTTATATGTTGAGTTTGATGATCATTTTTTGGATGTGGGGCAATAGGCAATCCCAGATACCGGGGGGAGGAGGTGTAGGAGGGGGCGTTGGAGTAGGTGGAGCTGGGCCCATTGGAGGAGGAGGAGGTGCTTCACAGAAATTGACCACCAATGACGCTCTAACCTATCTCAAAGAGGTGAAGGACATGTTTTTAGACCAAAAAGAAAAATACGATACGTTTCTTGAGGTCATGAAAGATTTCAAGGCCCAAAGGTATCAATGTGCTCAGTATCATTCTTTTTTCTATCGTAATACATTCCTAGTTGATTCCTCAGCTACTGGATTCCTGTTTTTGTCTTTTTCAGAACTGACACAGCAGGTGTCATTGCAAGAGTAAAGGAATTATTTAAAGGGCATAACAACTTAATTTTGGGCTTTAATACCTTCTTGCCGAAGGGTTATGAGATAACCCTCGATGAAGATGAGACTCCACCAAAAAAGACAGTTGAGTTTGAGGAAGCTATCAGTTTTGTAAACAAGATAAAGGTGAATATGTTTAATTTTATTC